TCCCAGAGTTCCTCAGCCAGCTGAGGAACTCTGGGAGTTGAAGTCCACAAGTCTTAAAGTTCCCAAGGTTGGAGACCCCTGCTCTATCTAACTCCTGGTTTGCGGTCATTATGGTAAGCTCCAATTGGTTAGTAGTTAAGGCATCAAGCTAAAAACTTTAGAAATTGCTGGATTTTGGGAGCACAATCTTTAGATTCATAGATGAACACAGATTTACGTTCAGCTGCACAATCAATAGTTTCCCCTCACTGAATATACCATTCTAGAGGTAAAAATAAACCAAAATTCAATTTTGTTCTTTCACTCTAGAAAGGAGGCCTTTCTGCACTCGGGTCTTGGGTAGCTCCTGAAGCCATTTCCCAATGAGCTAAAGATGGATTTGGCTGGCTTAGTTCTAATACCGAGCCAAAGTGTTCTTCTATTTTAAGATCATGTTTGTTTTATAATTTTAATCCCATTCTTGCCGTTTTTATAGCCTGTTGTGATTTTATAACTTTTATTCCTATATCTATTCCATCCTGCAATGGTGAAATTCAAGCATGCAATATGTTTTATTCATAAATACATTGATAAATACAAATGATAATTTATAAAGAAACCAACTGATTTTAAAACGGTGGGGGGGGAAATTCCACTGGGATCTCAAGGATTAAAATGGGTAGGGATTCACCTCCCACTTCATCCCTCAGCCAGCAGCCTCACCCAAAAGGCTCCTTTTCTTCTTCTTCAGGACTGGACACTCCAGATAGCAACAACCACCATGGTCTTGGGGGGCGGGGGGGGGGGCAGGCTCCCACGGCTCCCACCAGCCCAAATCTTTGGCCAGAAACGATCTCCCTCCTGCATGGCACCTGAGGAAGGCCCTTGTTTTGGGGGCTTCCCTACTGAGTGAGGCTTCTATCTACCCATGTCGAGCTGAGCTGCCCCCACTCCCGGGTCTGACCAGCCCTGATGGGAGAACTCTTCCAAGGAAGATGCCAAGGGACACATGGACCCTGGCTTGTATTTTCCTGTACCTGCTGATCAGCCTGCCTTTGTTTCAAGACCTAATTTTAAAACTTCAAAAAAAAAAAGGGTAGAAAGGAAAAAAAAAAAAGACTCCCAATCCCTACAAAAACCTTTGAGTATAAAGTGGAACACATTTTATTTTAAATACTCTGGGCAATTTTTACAGTACATCTTTTTACTGGGGGTGCGGTGGGGGGGAGGGAAAAAGTGCAGAGATCATTTTTTTTTTAAAGTCCATCCTGCAGGCTCCATCATTTAATTATGAGCGGGACATAAATTATGCATTTAAACCTTGCTGCATTTTCTACAAAGTGGCATGCAAAACATTTCTCTCCCCCTTTTTCTTTTCTTTTCTTCTTTTGTGCGGTCTGGTAGTTTGATGGAGGTTTTTTTTTTCCCCCCTTCTTCTTCTTCGCCCTCCTCCTTCCTAGGGGCAACGGAGAAGGAAAAAGAAAGAGGGCTGCAGGGTATGCGATGATGAAAAAAAATTAGCATTTGTTATGAGATCAGCGTGGTGCTAACATATACAAAATCTAAATCTATTTTTTTTCTTCTCCTGCTTGAACTTGCGATGAGAAAGAAGAAGAGAGAAGAAAAAGGAGAGGGGTGGAAAAACCCTGAACGGCGCATGAGCTCCCCAAACACCAGGGGCGTCAAACTTGGATCCCATTGAGGGCCGCATCAGGGTCGTGTCTGACCTCTGGGGGGCGGAGGGGGCATGGCCAGGGTGGGCGTGGCCAGTTTGACATCACTCGTCCAGGCTCTGTTTCCAGCCACGATAGCCTCCTGCATCCCCCGCTGCCAGTGAAAACAGAGCTGGGGAAGGCCCTCCCGAGCTCCCGTTTTCGCTGGCAGAGGGATGCAGGAGGCCATCGTGGCTGGAAACAGAGCTCGGGAGGGCCACGCATGGCCCTCCCGAGCTCCACTTTCACTGGCAGAGACAGCGCTGGCCAGTCCTTCGCTGTTTCCAGGGCGGGCCAGATCTAAGCACCCTGCTGGCCAGATCCATCCCGCGGGCCTTGAGTTTGACACCCCTGCCATAAACCATGTTGCCGGCTGGGCACCGGATGGAGGGACACAAAAGCGGAGTGGATTCTTCTGCCGAGAAAAAAGAGGAGGGTGGAAGGGCAGCAATACCTGCACCGAATTCAGCCGGCAGTACCCGTTCAAGGGAAAGCGGATGACGTGGGTGGGGTCCTGGTTCCAGCCAGCATTCACCGAGTTGCACATCACATCCCCCGTCTCTGGGAAGATCTCCTCGATCAGCGCCTTCTCCCCGCTCAATGCGATCCGCTCCCCAAGATCCGGCGTCACTCTCACCACCAAGCAGTCACAGGGCTGGAAATGTTTCTGTTGCTCTTTCTCCTGCTTCCATCGCTCCAGTTCTTTGATCATCGGCTGCAGCTGGTAATACTTGGCTTCTTCGTATAAAAGACTGAAGTCCTTTTGAAAGAAGGGAGAAGGAGAGACTAGAAACATCGACGGATCGTTCCCCTAACCCCTGCAAACAGAGACTTTAAAAGAAAAAAGGTTAATATTCCACTGATGCCAAAAGGAAACTGATGCCATTATTTCCTTTTGGCTGGGTGACAGGAGGAGGAGGAGTCAAAAAGTCAAGATGGCAGCCACAACCACGTGGCCAAACTCCTGGCCTAGAAGGACCCTACCCAGTCCTGCCAGTCCTCTTAGTTTGTGTGGATGCTTGCTCTGACTTCGCCAAGGTGTTGCAACTGCAGTGTATTTACCTGCCTGCCTTTTGTTCCACTTGTGCATATAAGAACTATGCAATAAACTGAAGCCGCGTGGCACAACAACAGAAACAGCAATAGCCCTTACACTTATATACCGCATCAGTGCTTTACAGCCCTCTCCAAGCGGTTTACAGAGTCAGCATATT